GGCAATGAAGAACCCCAATTTCTAACCTGTCCCCACTAGCTAGCTGAGCCGCCTTCTTTAAATAGTGAGCTTCTTCATCTAGAGAGTGAAGTAGGAGCAAGGTACTCTGAAGAATAAGCATCCATTTAAAGGCCAGGTGGTGGTGGTGGTAGTGTGGCGGTGGCGGTGGCGCATGCCTTTAATTCCGGCACTTGGGAGGCAGAGGCAAAAGGATCTCTGTGAGTTTGAGGCCAACCTGATCGACAAAGCTAGTTCCAGGACAGCCAGAGCTGTTACACAGAGAAATCCTGTCTCAGAAAAAAAAAAAAAAAAATCCAAGGGCAAGCTGATCCCAAAGGTTAACACTCAGCAGGGACTTCAGTTGACAACTGTACATAGACAATAATAATAATAATAGTAATATAGTAATAGTAATAACAATCTGGAGTGGCTGGAAAAACGGGTATTGGCTGATTATTTTACCTGAGGATTGAGGATTTGTTCAAAATTACACTCTTTAGAAAATAGTAAAGAAGAGGAGACATGAAAGCAGCCAATTTAACCCAATTTGAATGGCATTATTCACACCATTGTTAGATACTGCACACTCAGAGATGAATGTCATAGTCCCTGCCTTTAAGATGTCCAAAATGCAGCTAAGGTTTTGGCTAAATACCAAGGGGGAAAAATGTTCCTCTCACTCTACTCTATTCAAAGAATGACATGTAAAGGAAGCCATGATGTCTAGAACCTTGACATGTATCTTGGCAAGCATACATTCACATGTACCTTCACTCACTCACTCAATTAACAAAAAAACTTCAAAAATTAAAAAAAAAAAAAGAAAGAAAGAAACTAGGTTTCAAGTGCCTATTTTTTGGGGGGGTGTTTTTTAAAATTTAAATCTAGTTCTTTGGGACAGGAAGGTGGCTCAGCCAGGAAAGCACTTCCCATGGAGTGTGAGGACATGAGTTCAGATCCCTGGAAGACACATAAAGGCTGGTAGGTGTGGTGGCCTGCCTGTAATCCCAACAATTGGGAAGCTCAGATAGGGAATCCTCAGTTCAAGCTAGCTAATCAGACTAGCCATATGAGTGAACTCTGGGTTCAACAAGAGACCCTGCTTCAATACATTAAGGTGAAGAGTGATTGAGGAAGACAATCTACACAAATGTGAACACAGAAAGCCACAAACATGCATACCACAAACATACATACACACCAGAAAAAAAAATCCAGTTCTCTGATACATATGAACAACATAGTCATATAAAAAAAATCTAGCTAGATGAAAGGTTAAAGAAAGTTTAAAATTCGACAAAAATTTCTGCCTGCAGCTAATAAGATTTGTCCTATTATTGCTCACAAATTGCAGTACAGCTCTATGTATCTGTTTTCCAACTTAACCTCTACTAGCCAGGTCAGAGACGATAGTCTAAATCACAGCTATTCTCAATGCTTTGCACCAAGCAAGCACTCAGGGTATACTGGTTGGATTGGTGATCTCCAAAGTCCATTCAGGTCTAAAGCCACCTGACACCTGACCTCAAAACTTGACCAGGATAGATATAGTTCAGTACAATGCTACAAGGTATCAAATACACATATATTTAAGTCATCCTGTGACCTTGTATAACACTGTCACTACAAGATTTAAATATATTTTTACATGTAGTTCATACCTGTAATCCCAGCACTTAAGAGTCAGAGGCAGGAAGATCAAAAGTTTGAGACCTGTGTGAGCCACATAGTGAGTTCTAGGCCAACCTGGGCTAGACTGATATCCATCTCCAAAAATGAAGAAAAATACCAACTAGATTTTTAGAAGAAGAACAACAATATAAATATATTTTTGAAAATACAGGCATAATTATAGATCTCATTACTATATACTCAGTACTGTGATGGAATATAAAATTAGGATGTCCATTCTTGATTTAAGAAATTTTGTATTTGTAAATTTGTACAAGCAGGAAAAGTAGGAGACACTAAAATAGAGAGATGTAAGAAATGCCAAGTGCAATATAAAATGTCTCTCACTGAGTACAAGTAGGCACACTAACTGTGTAACTTCCTAATACAGGAAGGAGGGCTGGAACTAGGGTTCAACGGGTAAAAGGGCTGGCCTTGTGTGCATGAGGCCCTGGATTTGATTCCAGCACCATACAAACCAGACTTAGTGACACAAGCCTCTAATCCTAGAGCGAAGTTCCAGGTCAACCTTGGTCAGCTACACAGGCAAGTCAAGGCAAGCCTGGGCTACAATGAGGCTGTATTTAAAAAAAAAAAAAAAAAAAAGTGTTTCTTTCACTTCAGGTTATACTTAAGATCTCTGAAAAGGGAATGAAAACAGAGAAAACTGAAAAAGGTAAGATTTTTACATGGTGGAGACATATTATTTGCCTAGAGGTAAAAACCAACAACCACCAAAACCCACAAGTCTAAAACTACCTCATAAGACACTTGCTTTTCAGGAATATGCACAAAGATTTCCACCATAACTTCCCTAGCACAATTAAGCCAGCAAAGCCTCGCTCTGGAATCTGCAAAGTCCATCACAATAATTTAATTTCAAGGTGTCAAATCACAGATAAAACCCCACTGAAAATTAGTTACCCCAGCGATGGAGAGGGGCTGAGGCAGGAAAATCCCAACTGAGGCAGGGTAGGGGGATGGGAGGGTGTTTAAGGTCAATCTCAACTACATAGCAGCCTTCTTATGAGGGGTAAGGGAGACTGACATCTTTCCAGATAATTACAGTGTTCTAGCAAACCATGCCCACAAAATACATGCTCTCAAGCATAAAAACTCACATGAAAGTGAGTCAAACCACACACACACACACACACACACACACACACACACACACACACACACACATTCCACCAGAAGTTGCTGAGGATGTAACTCCATAGATGGGCTACTTGCCTAGTATGTGCAAGGCCCTGGGTTCAATTAACAATGGTGGCCTGGCAGTGGTGGTGCACGCCTTTAATCCCAGCAGAGCCAGGCGGATCTCTGTGAGTTCGAGGCCAGCCCGGTCTACAGAGCGAGATCCAGGACAGGAACCAAAACTACACGTTCAGCGCAAGGCCCTGAGTTCGGTCCTCAGCTCCGGGAAAACAAAACAAAACAAAACAAAACAATGGGATGGTGGACATTGATGAAAAGTGATTGAAGCTTGTCTGAGATAAGCAGAAAAGGGATTTCCTAATTTCCTAGAGTGCAATAATAATTTGGGCTAAAAGGCTGGGTTCTAATTCCAAGCACTATACTGCCTGCCGGTTTTGTTTAAAGACAAGATCTTGGTATGTAACCCTGGTTGATTTACTAGTAGTTGTATAGCCCAGGCTGGCCTCGAACTCCTGGCTATCCTCCTGCCTCATCTTTCCTTAGTATTGTACTTCCGATTCGGAATGCTTTAGGCAACGGAAACAAATACTATGAAAAATAATCATTTCTAATTTCAAGAATTCCCAAACTAGGCTAGTAAAATAGCTAGATGAGTAATGCCACTTTCCACTAAGCTTGACAACTTGAGTTGAATTCCCCGTATCCAGAAAGTGGGAGGGGAGAACTCCCAAAAGTTGTTCTCTGACCTCTACAAGAGGATATATTCACACATAGATGTGCACACACACATGCGCGCACACACACACACCTACACAAAATAACTGTAATGTTTAAAAAAAAGTCAAGAATTCCCAAGCTAATGGAATAGCCTTAGATTCCACGCAAATGAACTTCGCAGATTTCTGCTACACCACACCTGTAGGAATACACCGCCGCCCACTCCGTCCGAATCCTGGTAATCAATTTTTAAAAAAAATTAATAGAGCGGTGGTTAACTGCTGTTCCAGATGAGGCGACTGAATTTATGGCATTAGGTGGTTGGTCAGACTTGGAAGCACAACGCTCCCAGGGAAGGGAGTAACACTAACACTGCCTCCTAGCCTGGAGCTCACAAAGCCACCCGGTTCTCCTTCCCTAGTGACAGATCAAAGCTGAGTACGGATGCGCCTGGCCGCTGGAAGGCAGCCGCCCGCCGCCCTCTGCGTTCGCTCCCGGCCCCGCCCAAGCCCCCCGCGCGGCCGGTGCGATACCTGGCGAAGAAATCTGCGAGGCCACCGCTCCGTCGAGTTCGAGCCGTGGTGCCCCCGGGGCCCAGCTCCGCCGCCGGCAGGGGTGCGGGCGGCCCCGCCGAGGGCAGGAGGTCGCCGACGCTCTGGCGGCGGCTCACCTCGAACGTGTTCCGAGAGCTGAAGCGGGCGTCGGGGAGGTCGGGGCTGGGCTCCGCGCTCCCACCCGGCCTCGCGGCAGAGGTGGCGGCTGTGGGTTCCGGGTCATCGGTGTCCCCGGCCGCCAGACAGCAGCTCCGTAGCGGGTCCTCCAGCGGCGCGGCCCAGTCGTCCGGGCCGCCCGCACCGTCCACACCCTCGTCGGCGGGATCTAGCAGGCGCGGGTGGCCGCAGGATCGGCGGCGACGCGCCTCCTCCGGGCCGCGACGGTCCTGGCGCAGCAAAAAGCCCGAGTCCCCGTTGGTCATGCTTGAGCGGCACGCCGCGGGGACAGCCTCCGCCTCTGTCCCGCCGAGCCCGGGCTGCAGCGGGGCCGCGGCCGCCGCGAGATACCGCTGCAGGAGCTGCCGCGGCGCTTCCTCCTCTCCAGCCTCCCCGGGCGACTCCGCGGCGACGGCGCCTCCGCCAAAACTACCGGCGGCGAGGACGGTCTTCCCATCCTGACCCATGGGCCCCGGGACTGGGAGCAGCTCGGCGTTTCTTCCCGAGCAGGCTCCGGCATCCTCGGGACCCATCATCTGAGGCGGCGGCGGAGGAGGAGGACTGCCCTGCGCGCAGGGGCCGCGGCCACGGCCGCCGCAACGTTCCCGGACCCACCCCTCCCACCCGCCAGCTAGGGCAGTTGCCGGAGCCCGGGCACGCGCTAGGATCGCGCACGCGCACCAGAGGCCCCGGGCCGGCCGCGACCCGGCGCGTCCCCGAACCATAGAGACGGCAGCTAGAGCGACCCGGAGGACAATCTGGGATCCGCCAGCTGCCTCTGGAAGGCAGAGGATGGTTGGCGCACTCGCAGGGTGGCAATGCTTAGCAGAAGCGCAGGTACTGCACGCTTTGCCAAAAACTCACTTGATGCGATTCGTTTGTGAGAGCAAAATAACGAAGTTAGCCTAAGTCTTTCCATCTTGACAGTTTTTACCTTCTCTATCAACAGTGAGGAATTCTATTGCAACCATTCAGGTCTTCATTGCCCCCAGGACAGCCCCTTACCTACTCTTTCTACTTACCTCCTGACAATCAACACGTTGGTTGTAATGTCACCTGGGTAAGGCGATGTAATGGAGTCTGAGCGAGGACCCTGTGGTAATGGATTAAAATAGAATGATGACCATTTGGTGGAAATAAATGTATTTAATGTGCAAATCACAAAATAGATAATAACTAGCCACAGGAGCGATAGGAGAGCAGCCAGCAATTACAAAGCTATGAGATTGACATGAAGAAATTGGAAACTGGATTTGGGCAAAACACTGGAATTAACTAACATACAGTGAAAGTCCCAAAACTCCAATGATGGAGGAGCCATTTATGTAAAGCACCAAGGTGAATCTTGAGTGACCTTTCCTCCATAGAAGAATGAGGGTAAGGGTGGGGCAGAAACCCAATAGTGTTGGCATTTCAGAAGGGACAGTGAAGTTGTAGTAAAAGACCTAAATAGACATTGTTGTCATAAGATGAAGCAGTAACTAGGGACCATTCATTCTACAAATGCCTCTGAAAGTAAGTATAGAAATGGAATGATGTACTTTGCAAAACAGTACCGTAAAGTCTTTAAAGTTTTGTATATAAAATGTATACATAAACCGGGCAGTGGTGGTGCACATCTTTAATCCCAGTACTTGGGAGACAAGAGACAGGCTGATCTCCATGAGTTAGAGGCCAGCCTGGTCTACATAGTGAGTTCAAGAACAGCCTAGATGGTTATACAGAGAAACCCTGTCCCCCCCCCCCCAAAAAAAAACAAAAACAAAAACAAAAAATAAGAGACAAACAAACATTTATGAATAGCTTTAAGAGTGAATATAACCTACTTGTTTAGTAATAAAATGTGCACCCATGTACCCACCATTCAGATTAAGAACTATCAAGTGTCTTTTATAATGAGCTTTTCTGTAAGCCTAAGCAGCAAAAGCATTTATTATCAAGATCTTTCCAGAGGTAGGAAGACAGCCCAGTTAGTTGGTCAAGTTGCCATGCAAGCATGAGGATGTTCACTCTATCCTCAGCACTCATATAAAAAGCTGGTGTGGTAGAATGTCCTTGTAATCCCAGCACTGGAGAGGCAGATCCCTGGGAACCTCTAGCAACCAGCCTAGCCAAAACAGCTAGTCTTAGATCTCATTAAGAGACCATGTCTCAAACAATAAGGTGAACAGTTCTGAAGGAATAATACCTGAAGTTTGTTGATGGAGTTTCTCTGTCCCGCCAGCTGGCTCCCAAATAATCACACAGAGACTTATTATTGATTATAAATGTTCAGTTGATAGCTTAGGCTTGTTACTAACTAGTGCTTACATCTTAAATTGTCAGGTTTTTAATTTTCATTTTTCTTTCTTTTTTTGTTGTTGCTTTTTTTTTTTTTGGTTTTTTTTTTTTTTTTTTTTTTTTTTTTTGAGACAGGGTTTCTCTGTGTAACAGCCCTAGCTGGGGAATATTATTTTAAGGTGTGTTACTTTTGTTTATGTTGCATTTGTTTAACTCTGTGAAGCTGTATAACTGTCTAAAACACCTGATGACCTAATAAAGCTCTGAATTGCCGATAATGAGGCAGGAAAAAGGATAGGCAGGGCTGGCAGGCAGAAAGAGTATATAGAAGGAGAAATCTAGAAGGAGAAAAGATCAAAGAAGTAGCCAGAGGAGGAGGACTCCAGGAGCCAGCTACCCAGCAACACAGCAGGCCACAGAGTAAGAGTAAGGTTTACAGAAGAGAATGGGAAAAGCCCAGAGGCAAAAGGTAGATGGGATAATTTAAAGTTAAGGAAAGCTGACAAGAAACAAGCCCAGCTGAGGCCGAGCATTTATAGTTAAGAATTAAGCCTCTGTGTGTGATTTATTTGGGAGCTGGGTGGTGGGCCCTCCAAAAGAGCAAAAACAAACAATAACACCTAGCTGTCCTGGAACTAGCTCTGTAGACCAGGCTGGCCTTGAACTCACAGAGACCTGCCTGCCTCTGTCTCCTGAGTGCTGGGATTAAAGGCATGTGCCACCACCACCCTGCAAATTAACCCATATTTCTTATCTATGCTCTGTCAAGTGGTGGTACCTTTTTTCAGCACAGCATGTTCATCTCTTGCTTCCTCTGTGTCTGGCTCATGACTTCCCGTGACTCTGCCATTTTTCTTCCCATCATCCTCTTAGTTTGGCTCTCCCACCTAACCTCTTCCTGCCTAGCTATTGGCCAGTTGGCCAGCCAGCTCTTTATTAAGACAATGAGAGTAATACATATTCACAGTATACAAAAAGGATTATTCCACAGCAGAAGTTGACCTCTGGCTTTCCTAGGCACGAGTGTATACTTATCCTATACATAGGAACACACAGACACCTGCACATACATATACAAAGATCTTTCAAAAGGAAGAAAACAAAGAAATGTGTATGAGCCATACAGACTGATAGGAATCCTATATCTGTTATGGGCGCAGTACCCAGAATAATATGAAATAATAAGTCAATATGGTAGATTATACACCTATAATCACAGAACTCTCTAGGATGAGGCAAGAGAATCTCAAGTTCAAGGCCAACATGGGATACATAGCAAATCTGAGGACAGCATGAGCTACCTAGCAAAATTTGTCTCAAGAAAATAAATTTATAACTCAATATTTAAAAAGACAACCCAATTTTAAAATGAGCTCATACTGTAATCCCAGCATTTGGAAGGCTGAGACAGGAGGATTGTTAGACTACATAGTGAGTTCCAGGCCAGCAGGGGCTACAGTATGAGATAGTTTGTAAAAAAGAAAGGGGGGAGGGTATAAAATTTTGAATATATATGTTTTTCTGGAGATGATATGTTAAATGGAATATTAATAAGCATATCATCATTAAGTTATTTGGGAGTGACAAAGCTATGAGATAGCACTTTTCACTCACTAATGAAAGAAAGGAAGAAAGAAAAAAGAGAGAGACAGAGACAGAAAGAAAGAAAGAGAGAGAGAGAGAGAGAAAGAAAGAAAGAAAGAAAGAAAGAAAGAAAGAAAGAAAGAAAGAAAAAGAAAGAAAGAAAAGAAAGAGGACAAGTGTGATGTGGTACTCCTACAATCCCAGCTCTCTGGAGGCTTCCACAGGAGAATCAGGAAATAGAGGCTGGCCTGGGTTACAGAGCAAAACTGATTCAAAATAACAATAAATAAACTTTAAAAAAAATTTTGTGTTATCTGGTAACATTTTATCCAGTTTTACAAAGAAAAGTCTCCTAATAAGATACATTATATCCTTTATGTGGTCCCTCATAAATTGATTATTTTGCTCTGCCTGTAGTCAAGGAGAGTACAGAGGCCTCAAGTTCTTTATACCCTTCTTTTTAAAATTATTTATTATTATTACTATTGTCTGTCTGTCTGTAATCAGGTTTACACCAGTAGTGCTTTCTTTTACCTACTGAACCATCTTGTGGGTTCTTCATACTTTTTCCTAATCTTTCTCGGGCTATACTGGATTCCCAAAGAGCATCTAAGTATAAGGCACCTTCTACAGTGTTAAATTACCTCCAATACCATCCATACACCCTTAGAGCAATGTTACTCAAACTTTGAAACATATCAGAAACACTTAGGATTAAACACACACACACACACACACACACACACACACACACACACACACACACTGATGCCTGGGTCACACCAATTAAGTATATAACTATCTTCAATGATGAATAGACTAAATAACCATATCATCAGTATGTCCCTTTGGAAATTGATTGAAATATGAATAATAAATTTGATATAAAAATTTAAAAGTGAACTCTGTAATGTAGTAGAAATGTATGGTCTTGCAAAACCATGCAATTTGGTTTGCTACTGAAATCATCTCCAACTTCTGCAAATAATTTAAATTCCATACATTCCTGGCAAAACCCCATCTGGTAAAAAGGGTGACTGGGATCACGGTTGTGGATTATAGTAAGATAATAAGTATTGTAAAGATGAATATTTCAGATTAACTTAGCAGGATGAGGTATGAGTGGGAAATGAAAGATAGAAAGATCACAGAGCAGCTGCTGTTTGGTAAGCCACAGTGGGACAAACCACAGACCAAGAGATAGAGGAAATGCTTTAAAAACACACAATGCTCCTTTAGTAGAGCGATGCATGCCACATATTAGAAGGCATTGTAATCTTACCCCTGGGACTCTGTCATAAGGAAACCATTCCAAAGAAAAGATGACAGCTGTGCAGAGATGCTTATAGCTAAATGCTTTAGAGTCAAAAATTCTAATTTACCCAAATAGTCAGCAATACGAGAAGTGCAGGCCAATCTATGTATATCAAAGACAAGTGAGAGAAAAGCAAAAATACAAAGAAAACTACTAACAAATCTATACTAAATAAAAGTAAGGATGTGTGCCAGGCGTGATGGCATATGCCTTTGGTTCCAGCATTCAGGAGGCAGAGGTAGGTAGATCTCTGAGTTCAAGCCAGCCTGGTTTACAAAGGTAGTCAAAGGGAATTTCAGGACAGCCAGGACCACACAGAGAAACCCTGTCTTGTAAAAAAAAAAATATATATATATATATATATATATATATATATATATATATATATATATATATATATAATTAAATGCTATAATTACAATGATATGTAAAATTATGTATCTATAAAAGTAAAAACAGTTTGCCATGAAAAGAGAAAGAATGCACTCTTTATTTTATACTTTTTGTTGATATTATTTTTGTTTGTTTGTTTTTTGAGACAGAGTCTCATGCAGCCCTAGCTGACTTCAAACTCAATATGTAGCTGAGGATGGTCTTGAATTCCTAATCCTCTTGTCTTCATCTCTCAAGTTTTGAGGTTATAGATTCTAGGTATATATCACCATGCCCAGCTTATACTTCTTTCATAACATTTAAAAACATAATTTAATTTTATGTGTATGTGTGCCAGTGTGTGTGTGTGTATATATATATATATATGCACCACGTGCTTGCAGGATCCCTCTGTGATCAGAAAAGTCTCAATTCCCTGGGAACTGGAGTTGCAGTTGTGACTGGTTGTGAGCTGACATGTGAGTGCTGGAAACCAAACCCAGGTCTTCTGCAAGAGCAGTAAATGCTCTTAACCACTGACTAAGTCATCTTTCCAGCCTCTATAAAAATTTTAAATTGAGGCTGGGTGGTGGTGGCACACAACTTTAACCCCAGTTCTTGAGAGGCAGAGGCAGGTGGATTTCTCTGAGTTCGAGGCCAGCCTGGTCTACAGAGTTCCAAGACTGCCAGAGCTACACAAAGAAACTCTGTCTCAAAAAAACAGAAACAAAAAAATTTAAATTGATTAAATGTTAACTCTTTAAAAAATGCTCTGGGGGCTGGAGATGGCTCAGTGGTTAAGGGCACTGACTGCTTTTCCAGTGGACCCAGGTTCAATTCCCAGCACCCACATGGCAGCTCACAACTGTCTGTAGCTCCAGTTCTAGGGGACCTGACACTCGTGGCAAAATACCAATGCATGTAAAAAAATAAAAATAAATGCTCTGAAGTATAGTTAGTTCTAAATGAATGTCATAACTACACATTGTGAAGTAATGCAAGTAATTTTTATATTGCAACAGGACATTAAGCTGCATTTGCAAGCAAAAGGACCTCTAAGGCCATATTTAAAAGCTATAGATGGGGGGCTAACAAAATGGTTCATTTGTTGAAGGTCTTTCCTTACTGCCAAGCCTAACAATCTGAGCTTTGTCCCTGAGACACACATAGCAGAAGGAGGGTACCAACTTCTACAAGTTATTCTCTGACCTTACATACAGGCACATACATAAGTAAATGTAAATTTGAAGTTACTCTGTGAACTTGAGGCCAGCCTGGTTCAAGGTGAAGCCCCATGATAGTCTGAATGTATTTGGCTCCCATAATCTAATAGGGAGTAGCAGTATTAGGAGATGTGGCTTTATTGGAATAAGTATGGCCTTAGAGGAAGTGTGTCTCTGTGGGGGCAGGTTTTGAAGTTTCCTATGCTCAGGACACTGCCCAGTATCTGAGTTGACTTCCTGTTGCCTGCAAGATGTAGCACTCTCAGCTCCAGCACCACATCTGCCAGCACAACGCCATGCTCCCCGTCATGATGATAATGGACTGAACCTCTGAAACTGTAAGTAGCCACCCCAATTAAATGTTTTCTTTATAAGAGTTGCCATGGTCATGGTGTCTTCACAGCAATGAAAACGCTAACTAAGATAAGCCCTGTCTCAAAAAAAATTTCTTTTAATTATAGACTTCAAAAAATAATGATAGGGGCTGGGTTTGTAACTCAGATGTTAGAGAGCTTGGCTGGATTGTACAAAGCCCTAGGTCTGATTCCCCAGCACCACATAAACCAAGCATGGTGGTACAAACTAGTCAGTAATCCAAATACAGAGGAGGTGGGGCAGAGGAAGGAGATCCAAAAGTTCAAGGTCACCTTCATCTACTAGCAAGCTTGGGCTACATGAGACTTTCTCTCAGAGACAAAACAAAAACAAAATATAACAAATTAAAGTAGGAAATAGTTGCCACTGTTACAATCCAATGAAAGTTTTTACATAAATTCAGTATGAGAAATCTGAAGTTTGTTAAGTGTTTCTATTTTCTGCAACAGCTGGTGTCAGACCTTGTTTTCCTGTTGGCTTAGCAGCTGCGCATGAATCTACTGATATTTTAATTATCTTCTGCCACCTCACACACAGCCCTTTGTGGCCTGGTGGGGCTTCGAGTCCTGTAGCCCTGGCTCTGCTGCAGCTGTATTTTGTAGGTTTAAATTAAGTCTCTACCATGCTATTTATCAATAAGACTCAGAAGTCAAAGGCTGGGGTGAAAACCTGCTAGTTCAGAGAGGCTGAGTAGCAACTAGCTGACCTTGCTTTTTGGCAGGAGACATCCAAAAGAATCACATCTCTTCCCTCGTCCCAGAACCAAGAGAGCTCAAACTCCAGTTCCCACCCTTTCCTTCCAGAGTGTCTTCTCTATCCAAATTGTTGACTTCTCTATGGCCAATACTGGTCAGCTAGTCACTGGCTCCACCCCCTGATTCAATGTATAACTTCATGGGGCAGTCTTGGGAGTCAGAGTGCTATCAAAATATCCCACAATAAGACCTGGAGCCAATTCCACATTTCTATTATTCTTTCAATGACACCTTTTTAAAACCACACTTTAATGCCCAAGCAGTAGAGGTGTACACCTTTAATCTCAGCAGAGGCAGAGGCACGCAGATCTCTGTGAGTTAGAGGCCAGCCTGATCTACAAAGCAAGTTCCAGGACAGCCAGGACTACACAGAGAAATCCTGTCTCCAAAAACAAAACAAAAAAAACCAAAACCCTACAGTTTCAAGCCAAAAGAAGTAGCACATGGCTTTAATCCCTGAACTCTGGAAGCAGAAACAGACCTAGAACTTGAGTTCCAGGCCAGTAATCTGATCTATACAGCAAGTTCTAGCCCTCTCTCAAAATAATTAACTAAATAAAGTAAAAGGAAAAAAAATTACACTTTTCAACCCAGTAGAATACTAAACAAAACAACCCACCAAACCTAAAAGCACAAATATAACTATAGTTCCAATACCCAGAAATAATCAGTTAATATTAACTATTAAGCTGAGGATATAGTTCATTGGTACAGTGTATGCTTAGCAAGTTACAAGGCCCTGGGTTCAATCTACTTCTTGTCTGCCTTAGTGACAGATGACCCTATGAAGTATTTGGAAATGTGTGGGTTAAATGGGGAGCTTGGAAAAGCATATGAAGTGTGGACTAAAAAGGTATGCCTTAGTTAGGGTTGCTATTGCTGTGATAAACCACCCTGAGTTTATTTCATCTTATAACTTATAACTCTCACACCTCACTTCTTCACTGAGGGAAGTCAGGGCAGTGACCTGGAAGCAGGAACTGAAGCAGAGGCCACAGCACTGCCCACAGTGAGGCAGGGTCCTCCCACTTCAACTATCAATCAAGAACATGCCCCCCAAAATAAAAGAAAATAACATAAAAATAAAAAAAGAGCATGCCCCACAGGTCTGCCCACAGCAGGTCTGGTGGAGGCATTTTCTTAACTGGGGTTCCTTCTCCCCAAATGACTCCAGCTTGGTAAAGTTGACATATAACTAGCCAGCACAGTAATCTTGTAGCATTTTAAATGCTTAGGAAAAGACAAGCAAAATATCCACTAGAAAATGGTGATTCCCTTTAACGTATAATTTCATAATATAAATTCCTATGGGGGTCTAATCTACTAGGGAGCCTCTTGCACTGGTGGCTTGGTTTTGTTTTTTGTTTGTTTTCATAAACAATTGAAAATGTGGGGACTGAGGAAAAAAAGAGAGTAGCATGCAGGAGAATGTGGCCACTAAATAGTACCTTGAACCTAAGTCACAAAGTAAATCTATAGGAAACAGCTCTCCTTGGGATGAAAGCAAAAGGGGGCTAGACTAATATTCAACAATATAATCTTGAGATTTAAAATCTAGGGGCATGGCTCTCATACTCACAGGCCACTAAAGACTGATAAAGCTGTTGGATATTAGACAACAGTAAACAGCACGGCTCATGGGGAAGTACAGAGTACAGTGTATAATCCACTTAAAAACATTAAAAATCAGTTTCAAATGCCACAGACAAAAAATTCTGCTGGCACAGTTTGACCCATGGTCCCCCAGTCTGTATCTATGACTCCTTTAAATTCTAGAGGAAAGAGCTGACCATGTCAAAAAAAACAAAACAAAACAAAAACACCTAGCATGGCATGGTGGTGTAGGCCTTTAATCCCAGCAGGAGGGTCTCTGTGAGTTCAAAGACAGCCTGATCTACATATGAGTGCCTAGACAGCCAGGACTACAAAGACACCCTGTCTCAAAAAAAAAAAAAAAAAAAAAAAAACTACCTGGAGGAAACTCAATGCTTGAAATCAACAACAATTAATGGGGTTGCTTTTTTTCTTATTTTAAGGATTTGTCGTAATTCATCAGTAAGTTTAATTCAATAGGCCAGTAAATATTTCTTAATTCTTTCTAGGTACTAAACACTGACCTAACTGTTAGGGATAATAAGTCACTATCTCTGTACAGGTCCTATTAAGTCTTATGAATGCACAGTAAGATGGCGTACAAAATCAGCCCGTGATTTATTTGTTTTTAATAATTTATTTTTATTTTATGAGCATTGGTGTTTTGCCTGTATGTATGTCTGTGTGAGGGTGTCAGATTTCCCGGAACTGGAGTTACAGACAGGCATGAGCTGCCATGTGGCTGCTGGGAATTGAATCTGGAAGTGCAGCCTGTGCTCTTAACCGATGAGTCATCTCTCTAGCCTCTCAGCCCATGATTTAAATCCCACCTCTTAGGATCTCTAGGAGCAAACACACATGTACACACACATGCAAATAAATCTTTGAAAGTTTTCAAAAGTAACAACTGATAAATAAAACCAGCCAACCAACTAGAGACAAGCAAACCAAAAATTTCACCAAATCCCAACCTACTATTTCTTTACTGATAGAAAACTAGGTCTTTGAATTCAGTGCCTACCTAGGTCTTGATACTCATTAATTTGTCTCTGATGGTTTAAAATAAGTCTGGGGCTGATGAGATGGCTTTGCTAGTCAAGGCACTCCGAACCTGACAATCTGAGTTCAATCCCTGAGATCTTCCTATGGCATGTTCCTCAGAAAGTGAAACCTTTCCTCCAGAAGGGAAGGAAGCGCCTAGGGTGGCAAACAGGAGATAACAAAGGTCACATGTCTGGAACAAACCCCAGAGCTATAAAAACTTGCAGGAATCTTGCAGGCCCCTACAGGGAGTGAACAGTACCGGAGTGGAGACTGGAGCAAAGTGAAAGAGATGTTCAGACTGGAGCTTCCTGCAAGCTTTGGAGACCCCAGGGCTGCGTTTCCCAGAGTCCTCACCCAGGATGCAGTGGGTTTCCTGGTGCTGCAGCTGTTATCCTTTCACCCACTCCTGCTAGTGACCTCGATAAAAAACTCATTAGCTCACCAAATTGGATGACATTGATATAATTGTTACTTTAGTCTGTCATGGGCTCCCTTTCTGGTGGTGTGTGTGTGTGTGTGTGTGTGTGTGTGTGTGTGTGTGTGTGTGTGTGTGTGTGTGTTGCTCCAGGAAAAGTCTGTCATACAACACAACAGACCCATGTGGTAGAAGAAGAGAACTAATTCCTACAAGTTGTCCTCTGACTTCCATATGCATATGGTGACATAAATTTATACACACACACACACACACACACACACACACACACACACACGTACTCTTATAAATGTTATTTTTTAAATGTCCACAATTTTATCTTACTTTGTTGTGACAGGAATCAAATTCAGAGCCTACCATATACTAGGAAAATACTCTTGACATTTGACCTCTGCACCTAGCCCAACATCCTTAATTTCTGATATCCCTTCAAAAATCCAGGTTTAGCTCTTTCACTCCTGAGTGGAGTGTGAAGTAAGGGACTCACTTCTGATAAATAGAATGGCAAAAACAATGACATCCATAGCTGGGTCTTAAAAACATGAGCATCCCCCCTTCTTCTTTCTTAGATAAGACCTCAGGAGAAGTCAGCTGCTCTGTCATGAAGACATTCAAGTTGTCCAATGGAGAGGGTCACAAAGAAACAAGCCTTTTACTACAGCCACAAAACTCAGAATGGTAGCTAATCCTTGAGCCCCACTCACTGAAGCCTTCAATCGATCACAGCTTTGATAGGATCTAGATTGCAATCTCTGCAATCAGAACAAGCCTGCTAAGCCACTCCTCAAACCTGATCCCACAGACATAGTGTGAAATATAAACGTCTATTAGTATTTTAAAGTGATGATTTAATACATAATTTACTTACTAGAACTGACACATTAAATCATTATGTAAATTTTAAAGTGTAACTGTTTTGTGGTCTCTTTTAATTGCCTCTTTCCCTTCCTCCTCTTTACATATATATTTTAAAGATTTATTTATATTTTATATGTATATGCATGTTTTGGCTGCATGTATGTATGTGCACCACATGGATGATTGGTGCCCATCTCCACATATCCATCAGAAGAGGGTATCAGATCCCCTGGAACTGAAGTTATGGATGGTTGTGAGCCACCATGTAGGTGCTGGG